TGATTCTGCACACACCTCCCCGCTCTCTGATTCTGCACACACCTCCCTGCTCTCTGATTCTGCAGACACCTGCCCGCTCTCTGATTCTTCTGGCATGCTGCAATGCAGCCCAAGGCCCTCACTTTGTGGGACCCATCTTAGACTCCAATCTCCAGAAACATAAGCCAAGCAAATATCTTTTATTTATAAATTACTTAGACGTTAACCAGGCATAGTGGCATGCACCTTCAATGCACCTTTAATATCCAGGGGGCAGAGGTAGGAGGATCTCTGTGAATTCGAGACCAGCCTGGTCTAAAACGTGAGTTTCAGGACAGCACAGAGAAAGTTTGTCTTGAAAAACGAAACTAAACAAAAATTCCCTAGACACAGGCATTCTGTTACAGTGACAAAATGGACAAATCCTTCACGCACATCAGTTTTGAGTGATCATTGTTAATGCTGTCTGCGAGGCATATACCCCCACCAACCGTGAAACTCCATGTATTAACATTACATACTCAGTATCACTGTTTCAACTGACATACTTCCATGCAGCTACCAAACAATGGCAACTTGTTGAAATTAAATTCTTGACATGCAGATTTTAGCTCTGGGTGGACCATCTCTAGCCCCGTCCTGTCTTGGGAGATGTCCTCCAAAGGGGCCAGGTGGTTTGAGTTCAATGATACAAACTACCTTAGATGTTCATCTGGGCAGAATGGGGTCTGGGGTGGACAACAACACCACTCATCCAAGTCACACAATATATGCATACACACACACACACACACACATATAAATTAAGCTGAGTGTGGTGGTACATACTTATAATTTTAGCATCTGGGAGGCAGAGGCAGGAACAAGTCTATGAGACCAGCCAGGTCTGTATAACAGGTTTTAGGCTAGCAGGGGCTATATTTTGAGAACCTGTCTTAAACAAAACAAGACAAAACACACATACAAAAACAAAGAATAATAAAATTAACTGTTGGCACGTGTATGTATAAATGAGGTGAAGTACCTGAATTATTTCTTTATTCTTAGGTAGAACCAGACTGGTCAATGGTGGGTCCAGGGAGGTGCCTTTGTCTCTTCCACTTAACTCTGTCTAAAATAAATGAATACATCCTTGCTAAGTTTTCCTTGTGAACATTGTGGACATATTGAATACACATTAGTCCTGTGATTTTCACTCATGCTTGTTGACTCATGAGGATAATGCAACACAAAAAGAAGGCAAAGCAACGCGAGTAACAACTCAGGAGAGAACTAATGTTTATTCAGTGCCCACCACATGCCAGGTACCTTTTAGTTTCCCATCTAGAGCCACCATAGGCTGCAGGTTTCTGAACTTAAATGTTGCAGATCAGAAACGGAGTTCCTGGCCAACTGAGTAACTCTCACAGTACAGAGTTCTCAGAAATGCTTAGGAACACAAATGTCTTGGGTTTCAGATTTTTATTTTCTGATTTTGGAATATGTGCATATACATATATATGTGCATGCATGTATATCTATATATAAGACATCTTAGAGATGGTATCCCAGTGTAAACAAAATTTATTATTGTTTCATCTGTGCACTTACACAAATAACCTGAAGGTATTTTTGTATATGTGTTATGTGCACAGTGCATGTGGTGGCCAGGGTGACATCAGGTGTAGAGTTCAGTCTAATTAGCCCTGGGATCTTCCTGTCTGCCTCTTGCACTGAGATGACAGTCAGTGCAAGATGATATGTCTGGCTGTATGTGGTCCTCATGCTTCCACACAAGAACTTTACCCACTAACTCATCTCCCCAGCCCTTTGTAAATGATCTATTATTACTGTGCATGTGTGTGTGTGTAAGTGGGCAAGTGTATACATGATACATGGATGGAGGCCATACGACAACCCTTGGGAGCTGTCTCTTTTCTTCTACTGTGAATTCTGGAAATCAAATTTAGGTTGCAAGTTTGAGATACAAACACCTTACTCCCCTGAGGGATCTCACTGACCTTTATATGATGTCTGCTAATATGTTCTGTATGCAACAAGTTTCATGGTATAGGATTTTCCAATTATGGAGTCATGTCTCTCAAAAAGTTTCCATTTTAGGGGTTGGATTGGGCTGGAATTTGAACAGATTTCAAAGCTTGTGCTCTTGACAATTACATTAGACATTAAATAGTCCTCAATGTTGATTTGAGATGATTGTACCTGTGGGGGTTTCCCCCAGGATAGTACAGGTGGAACTCACTGTACTTAATGTATTATTGTTAACCACAGATTAGCATTCTATACAAGGAAGGTCATTTTCTATCAATTCTACTAAGAACCAGAATTGTATCAACCCCACCCATCTCTCTCCTCTCTCTCTCTCTCTCTCTCTCTCTCTCTCTCTGTGTGTGTGTGTGTGTGTGTGTGTGTGTGAGAGAGAGAGAGAGAGAGAGAGAGAGAGAGAGAGAGAGAGAGAGAGAGAGAGAGGATCTGACCCTAAGACTTTGGGCATGCCAGACCAGACACGCACCCTACAACTTAGCTGACAGTCTAAGTCTTTTTTCCAATGATTTTAAAAGCTTTTTATTTATGGGTTTATTGTTATTGTTGTTATTTGGGTGTTTGAGATGAGGTCTCTCTGTGCCTGGAGCTTGCTCTGCAGACTAGGCTGAAAAAAATCTTTATTTGGGGATATATATATATATATATATGTGTGTGTGTGTGTGTGTGTATACATATATCTGTATATATATGAGCTATATATATATATTACTGAGCAAGTAACCATATATGTGCATATATATGTGTGTGTGTATCCATATATCTGCACATATATGAGCTATATATATTACTAAGCTAGTAACCATATATGTGTGTATATATGTGTGTGTGTATCCATATATCTGTATATATATGAGCTATATATATATTACTGAGCTAGTAACCATATATATGTGTATGTATGTATATATATATATATATATATATGATTTAGTAGCTCAGTTGTAATATATATCATGTATATCCAGTGACTGAGGAGGCCAGATGAGAGCATTAGATCCTCTGGCGTTATAGATGGTTATGAGATGCCTGATGTGATGCTAGGAACTGAATCCACATCCTCTGCAAGAACAGCAAGTACTCTGAACTGCTGAGCTACCTTTTCAGGACCTTTCCTTCATATTTTGAGAAGGGTCTTTCTAAGTTACCCAGACTTGCCTTGAACTTGTGGTCCTTCTGTCTTAGTCTCTCCAGGAGCTGGTATTTTAGGCCCATGTCACTATGCCTGGTTCAAAATCAATTTTTAAAGCAATGCTAAGAATTAAGCTTAGGGCCTTGCACATACTAGGCAAGTTTCCTACCATTGAGTTATATACTGATTCTCTGAAATCTAATTATTTTTTCCATTTTAGTACTAGGTCTCATGTAGAACTCATTGGTCTCCTGCTTCTACTTCTCACGTGCTGGGATTACAGGTGTGTGCCAACATATCCACTGAAAATCAAGGATTTCAGCGGGAAGATTCTAAAGTACTGAAAACTTTGTGCGTGCCTCTTCTTCTTGTGTCTTTCTCTGCAACATAGTTCCTGCTGACTTGTTGCAAAGTGCCCCTAGGTTCTAAGGTCTGGAAGGAAAGACAGATTCTTGTTTACTGCTGCATTCTTGGTGTCCAATAAAGGACCTGCCATCTAGTAGGCACGGGAGAAAGAAATCTGGTAAGTGTGGATGTGTGTGTGAAACCTTGTATGGGCAAGAAAAACAGCCTCCTCTTATTATGCTTCTGATATAAAACCACAAATCATCAATATTTGATATAAGATTACAGTTTTTAATCCAGAGCAATGTTAGCATCATCTTCACCTCCAGGTAACACAGTGGCTACTGCATCCTTCACCTGGAGGAACCGATGTGCTAATTGGAGAGATCAGAGAATTTGGGTGACAAAGAACCAAGCAAAAACACTACCTCATTGAGCCTCAGCTTTTCATTTCTCATTATTGCGGAACTAGAATTTTCTGGATTTTTCAAAAAAAGTAGACTGTTTTTGCAGAGTAGAAGCAAACATTGCCCTTTCCTACAAGGACTGAGTGAAAGTTTTCAGCTGATCTGTTCCTCAGCTACCCAATTCACCCAGCAGGGAAACACTCTTGAAAGCATTTCTTGCCTTAGAAGGAGACTCTGGGCAGGGTGGCTGAGGTGGGAATGCTAGCTACAAACAAGGTGGAGAGGTGTCCCCTCCTGACCCTCACCCAGCCACCACCTCTTTCTTGTGGGAATCGGTTTTAGTTCTAACCTTACCCACAGTGCCTGAGCAGAGCACGGTGGGGGGGGGAACGGTGAGGCGAGGCTGAGATCTGCTCAGACACATTCAGAGGACCCGAGGAAGAACTCTGACCTTGAAACAGAAAGCACCCCTTCTTCCTACAACCCCTTCTACCTGGGAATAAACTCTAGCCCTACCTCTGCTTTCATCTGTGAAATACAAGCGACAGACAGCAGAGATTGCTTACTGGGGTGTCCTCTGTCAGCTTTGACTCCCGCAGCAAATAGCTCTGGCGCTGCTCGTTTCGCTGCTTCCTAGTCCGAAGTCTTTTCTTCTTTGGCTTCTTTAACATCATCTTCTGATTCAACTGGTCCTGAAATTGTAGAGGGGGTTGCAGAGTTACTCACCCTCTAACAGCTGATATACAGCAGCCTGGCATGTGGTTCTTTTTTATCGGTGTGGCAAACGAGTCAACAGCTCAACCACCTTCTTTCCAGAGGCTGTTCCCTATTTAACATGCTTGACTCCACGAATATTGACTGCTACCAAAGGGATCAATAGCAAATGCACATGGTTGACAAAACAAAGCCAGGTGACTTGTGATAATCAGGCCTGGTCCAGATGACTCTGATCACTGGCCTGTGGCTAAACTACTTGGCCTATTCTTACCATAAAGAAGCTCCAGCAAAAGTTGACAAAATTGCCGGGCAGGGGTTGGGAGCACAGGGGTGGGGTGTGGTGGGGATAAGGAGAGATGGGGGGAGAGAAGGGAGAAGGGGAGCAT